ATCTCAAGGTGAGAATTACAAAGAGACGGGGTAAGTTTTTTAAAGAGCGTCGGTGGCTCGGTGCTTTAAGCATTGACTTTGTAATCTACAGGTCTTGGGTTCGAATCCCGCCATGTACCAATGTGATTTTCGATTTTTTGAATTTTTATATGTACATAATTTACCCGACGTTCTTACGGTGAAGGAAAACATCGTGATGCAACCTGCCCATATCGGCGAAGAAATTCAAAGATATATGTGAATTCAACCAACCCGCGCATAGCCAGCGTGGTTGACTAAAGCCTAGTCACCCCCTTGTTAGGGTAGGCTCCGAGCCCCTCGGTGTTGACGTATAGTGAGCTGGAGATGATGAAGTTTTTTAATTAATAGAAAAAACATTAAACGTTAAAAGTTACACGACTGGTCTTAAAGGTGACTGAAAAAGATCATATGGCGGCAAATTCCATTTGATGAACAATAATAGATGTTAACCAATATTTAAATATCAAAACAAGATGTATTACAACAACTAATATAAGCATAAAAATTGACAGATTCACCACCACCACATCGGCAAATGGATTCAATTGAAAACAATTTTATTCTTCAAATATCGCGCCAAGGATGTCCATCGTAACGAAGGTGAGTTCAACATGTGTAATATATTGTACTGACAAAACAATTCTAAACATTCACTCGTAAAGATAGATAAATTGCTCGATACGAAACTATGCAAAGTAAACAATTACATAACGAAAATAGCTTTTTAAGTGAATCGTTCATTTTTTGTAATGAAACGAATGAATATATCAAGTATTGTTTAGTGTAAGATAAGTTATAATTGATTTTACAGTTAATTTTCTGATGAATCAGTGAATGATTATAAATTGAATGACATTTCAATGTTGATTATTCATGCCTCATCTATAGTAATACTATAAAGAGGAAAACTTTGATTGTAATGAATAGGTTCAAAAACTAGTGGGCCAATTAAAAAAAACTCCCTTTCTGTGAGTAACGTAGGCTATATTTATTAATTTTTTTTTATTATTATATTTAAATTTTACGCGGTCGCAGTTGGCCCATGGTCCTATGCCGAATGGTCTCATAACATAACCACAATACGAGGTTATTCACGTAGAAATTAGTATATTGAAGCCTTTACAGAGCAAAAACTAAAAAATCATCAAGAGCTTCAAAACCTAGAGATAGGCTTGATTGCATACGTCAAGTTTTCCATAGTATACATTAGTTATCAGCAATCAATAGATACTACGAACTATAACAATATCATTGACTATAGACATGTAAAATTTCATAATCCACGTGCAGTTTTAGGTTACCTACTTCTAATAAAAAATAATTATTATTAACTATGTCATCAGATCTTTTGCAATATCGTTCGATAAATAAATTAAAAATATTCAACCACGCACATGTGTTTTTTTATTTATTTATTGTCTCTTTTGTATACATATGGAAGCGTTGACTCCTGTAGTAGGTTGCCCAGTGTCACAGGAGCCAATTCCTCCCCCAATACTTCAATAAGAAATACATTACGATTAGTTTGTCCTTTTGAAACTAACAAGGTACAAAAAACAAATATTAAACCCTTAAATAACGATGAATTACAAACATGTTACATCGTAATTTTCACAAAACGTGAATTACGCATGTAACTATCGAATTGATGTTTTCATTTCGTGTAACATTTCACTAGGCACCTGTGCAAACCAACCTTCGTTCACCAGTTAATACGCGCTATACGTGATGCGAATCGAAACAACGCCCATGACCTGGCGAATTCAACATTTAAAAATATAAATAGGCTTGTGCTAAAATATTATAAGTGCATGCAAGCCAGCACGATGAATGAGTTTTAAATTTAGTACAAGAACAGATTAAAAATATTATCTACGAATTTATTTATAGCGTTACTTTTGTATTGAAATTCCTCGTTTTAAATGTTAAGTATTTGTTAGAAACCAAATTAGTATTACTATTTTGTTATCGTTAAGCCTAACTTAGTTTTCTATTAATAGTGTTATTAATAATTTGGAAAGAAAGAAAAAGTACTCATCGCAAACATTAACCTAATTTTTGTTACGAACTGCGGGCAGAATTTGGGCAAAAGTATTTTTGTCCTCCCATTTTGTTTCATAGCAGCGACAATCACGTCCTCAGGAAATGCGCGGTCGGAACGCAATAGGAAATTGAAAGTAGGAACAATGTTACTCCGCTAAATATGATAATGGGTCTCAGCTGTGTGTGAAAAATAATAATTTGCGATAATCTTAGGTAACAAAGGTTAAAATCGTTTAGATAACTTCCGCACCTTTTCATTACGTCGTAATTTGATTGGAAGAAATTATTAACTGCCGAATCATTTACTTAAGTTTGGTATGTGATTATTTAACGATCGAACTTTTAGTTCACCTTCACACACTTCATTGCTTCCTGCAGTTATAAAGGTCCAGGGTATATGTTGAGATAACTCAGACATTGTAGCCTTTGCATTCACCGCAAATAAAACCACTGATTACTTGATAGTTATTTATAAATACGTTTAATATTGCGACAGTTGTAAACCACAAGTACTGAGAAGCGGCTAAATAATAGATCAATGTTAGATTACTTATGGCCGGTTTCCCAGCTACATTTAACCATTCGCTAGTGTTTTTTATTCGATAACTTCATAAAATGCGTTTCCGAACTACGTAACTTGAGTTTTACTCCGCTGACATTTAGGTCTACCCAACACTAATGAAACACTAGGTAATGGTGAAAAATGGAAATATTAGCAACCCAGCATTAGAACATCGATAACTTCACGTCAACTTCAACGAAGGTTGGAAACTTAAGTCAATTGCTAAAATGGAAGGTACATTTTTATCGATGACACTTTTTGTCTCATCTTTTCTGATCATAACATACCAAAGAAGAACTTTATTTTAGTGATTATACGTAAAATACATTTACGAAACACGTTCAAACATTACAATCTTTTACTTCTCAAAATTAACAATTAAATTATACCAGTTTCAAAGAATTACTGATATAAAATTTTTAATTTCTAAGAAGACATCTGTTGCAATCGTTTTATGATCATCTCGTAACATTCCTAGAACTTCGAACAAACACTTATTGAACGTAACATTTTTAAAAAGTCGAGATAAACAATTCGATTTCATATAACTGTTTTCTTTTCGGTAGTTCTAGTGCCAACTGTCCGGATCTGAGTTGTAACAAACTTCAAACAACAAGGAATCCTGTAGTGACAACGTGATTGACAAAATTTCGACATACGTCGTGAACATTTTACTCAACCAAGCGTCTAGGGATGAAAAACGATAGCACGAAGGTTGTCGGCTCTGCATTACCATGCTACGGTTTCACTTTAGTAAGAATAGATGATGCAAACAAACAGTTGATTTATCGCAATAGAATAACAAATAAAATGAATCCCTCACATACACGAGGGTGAAAACAATCACAGCAATTAAGCATGATCTGAAAGCCCACAAACGCCACTGAGGACATATCCAAATGGGATGTGAAATCAAACGCCTGGAAATTAGTAATGGCCGCCGTATAACTACGTCACAGCCTCCTACGTAGAAACTTTTAGATGTCTTTTAATTATTTTCTGGAAAATTCCCCATCATCGATTTGACCCTTCTCGTAATGGTAAAAGGGTAAAAGTAATTACAAAGCAATCTATACAGTGGAGTCTAAATTAGTTTAAACGTTCTCGAATGGTTTTCTACAAAAACACCATAAAATAAACACATAAATATAGAAATTTGTAAAATGGATGGATAGACCAAAAAGGATAGCGTTTATCTTCATTCATCTTTTTTACGTCAAATGACTTTTAGAGCCAAAGAAATAATAAAAGGTGAATAGGAAAGTAAAACACTTATAGCTCGTAAAAACAAAAAGGACATTTTACGCTGCTTATACTTATAACATCATTACCACAGCTTTTAACAGAAACCAAAAGATTTTATTTCGATGTTCTGTGGTCGCAACTCGCAAAAAAAGATCGGTTACGAATCCAAAACTTTGTACCTACATTGCAATGAGTATTATTCGTAAAATAAAATAATACGATTCTCTAAATAACTTGGCTAAATATTCGTCGGTAGTAAATTTAATTAATACGTTAAGTTACTGTATTTTAACTGCGTAAATATTAATCGTATCTTTAAAGAAAAGGTAAGGAAGCAAAACGTAGCTAAGATTTACTATCCTTGTATGAAATGTAGTACTATTACTACGTCATAAAACAATGGTTTAATAATATATTTTACTGTATAGCTCATTGACAACATAGCAAATTAAGTAACCATTTCCGAAGGATGACACGTTTCAATGTAAACACAAGTGGTGTGTAACGGTAGCTTAAAATGCAGAGTGTAGGTTAAAGACATTGACAAAATTGACTATAAATTTACAAAATAAAATATAAATTTAGAGATTTTACAAGACAGCTCAAAACGCTTACATTATAGAGATCAATGACTAAGTTTCGACCGAGCCAATACTAGCCGTTTGGGTAATTTAACTCAAAAAAAGGTGTAATTTAATAATTCGGTATGTTTAATCTCGATAAATAACTAACTAAATTAGTAAATTAACAGGAAATTCCGTTCCCAAATATGGGTATGTTGCCGCAATGTACCAATTAAAATAGTTTTTTTTTTCAAATACAACAAAATAATTTACTGACTGTTGCGATTATTATGTTAATCAAATAATTTTAATTGGCGCTCATTTGTATAAAGGATAATTGTCAATCAATCGACATTACACTGAATATAATCATAACTCACCGTGTAAGTGTACGGCTATTGTATTCAAATGAAGATAACAATAAAAATAACGATACAGTATGACCTCTGATAATGTATATCAATAACCCTCCCACAATGTTACGGCCATTCAGACCACTTAAGACATAAAAATATTGCTGGCGGTAAACTCATAATGACGTCACTAAAAGTATAATAAATACTCACATATTGCGGTCCTGGTGCGAACATTCCTAGAGTAGCACATAGGGTAGAGAATAGCCCAGTAGCGATCGACGGACACCGCCACCAAGCAGAAGATACTGATCGTGCAAAGCATCACCAACAACGACACCGTGAAGAGACAGGCGTGGAGGTTCCTCGGCAGTCCAACCGAGGCTAGTATAGCGAATGGTATACCCAGGAGGCCAACAAGAAAGTCCGCCACCGCGAGAGACACTATGTAGTAGTTCGTACGACGCCGCAACCTCCGATCACGCCGGAAGACGTGTATGACCATAGCATTGCCAATCACCGCCACCAGTGCCACCAGGATCTCCAGAGAGGTGTATGTGGCGTGCAGTTCCGGCGTCGGCGAACGATGCGGCGCGGGGTCCGCCGTCGCCGTCACAGCCTCCGTCGACATCTCCCGCGTCTCGCTCATAACTCTTATATTATATCACCGAAATACCGTTTAAATTTGTAACACATTTTTTAAATCACTTCAAATCACATTGGCATTACCAACAGTTCTTATTAATTTTAAGGAATCGTAAACATTTTTTTCGAGACATTTTTATATCGTTTAAAATTGATTGAGTATTTGAACTGTTTGATCTCAGTAAAAAATTCAAATTATTATAGTTATCGTAAGGTGGACGATCCCGATTGTAAGGCAAGTCCAGCGTGTCCCGCTCGCGAGGCGCGCTTCCCAGCACTGCGGCCGCGAATTGGCGCGAAACCGACGGCGGGACGCGCGCCCTACGCTCGCCGCACGCCGCTGTACGCCGACGCGTGTAGCACTTGTTGAACACCGCACTCTCGCCCTTGACAACCAAATTGACCGGTTTTATTGCACGCATTTATTCACGATGCAACACCTTACCTAGTCTCTCGGTGAACCTAATAAAACCAACACTACCTATCGTCAAAGATTTTTGCATGATGATTGCACAATTTTTAAATTTATTTTTGGTCCAAATGATGACAACAAAAACATTTTTTGGAACGCCATATAGTAAAAAAAAAACGAAAAACGATTGGAATATTTCATTCAAATCATTCATACCTAATGTATGAAAAAGCCAGAAAAAATTTATGTGAATTAAAAAACAGGTAAAATGACATAGTTTATTAAACACCACCCATCATAACTTTGAGTGTAATTCACAATTCATTATTATGTAGGGTAAAAGCAATAACTTGTTTACACTCTAGAAATTCTTAAATAAATATGTAACATACTATGTCAAAAGCTATTTACACCAGAAGATGAAATAGATATATTTGCACACTAATTTCATAATTCAATACAAGTTCAAGTTAAATGCACCCTATCAACAAAATGTGCAGGAATCCCAATATTCAGGAGAGTTTTCTTATCAACCTGTTCTAAATTTGGTTGAAAACTGAGTATAGCCTCCCAACAAATCTCACTTAACTTCGGTATACACACCCAGACTTTGTATAATGTATTATTTCGACTAGTCGCTTCATCCTTGGGTTCAATACCACCAAACACATACATACAACCATATGATGTGATCGTAGATGAATGAAAATGCAGTGGATGCGGCAATGCTGTCTTTTGCATCAAATTCCATTGCATCTCTTTAATGTTCAATCTCCAAATATCGTCAAACATTGACTGTCCATCCGAACCTCCCACTACAAACACTTGTGGTCCCACATCTGTGTTAACTTGCACTGCACTATGACATTTCCTGGCTAAAGGTGCCAATGTGTTCCGGAAAGAATCATCAGCTTTAGGACTCAAAAATGACCATGTGTCAGTGTCCAGATCGTAAACTGGTATTTCCATAAGTTCAAAAGCGTATTCTCCTGTTCCACCGCCAATGATATAGAGCTTGTTTCCAACACGCGCTATTTCATGTCGATATCTTCCCACTGGCTCACCATCCTGGCCATTACCGACGAACACTTGCTCCCAGTTCATTGTTCGAAGGTCTAACCTGTGGAAAACTATTGCTTTACATTTATTTATAAAAGTATTAAGAAAAACATTGCAACGCAAAGCAATGACCACATTTAAAACAGTGGCATAAAAGTCCAATTGCAGTTTTTTTTAGTACAATAACAGTACAAAGTTATATTAAAAATGCAATGTAAAATCATACATTTTTTTTTCAAAAAATCATACATTCATAATTTGAAACAATATGATAAATATTTACATAAAAAAATCATACTCATCATCCACTTGCCCTTATCCCTTACGGAGGGTCAGCACAGTATGTGCTGCTCTTCCATACATCTCTATCAGCCGTCATATCTGAATCAACTCCTTTCTTAAGCATATCTTCTTTCACACAATCCATCCATACTTTCTTCGGTCCTCCTCTTCCTTTGTAGCCATCCTCATTCAATCTCAACACTCTGGTTTATGTCCCCATCATTTCGTCACATAACATGTCCATACCACGCTAACCTTTTGAAAGTAAAGGGTATAAAAACAAATACACTTTAGTTTTGTATTCTTATTTTCTAATCACCCTAGATTTTACCTTTAATAAGCAACAATTTGGTAAACCTAATATATAAAAAATATAAGTGTATTTGCTTTTATACTTCTCAAGTATCCTGTCCAAAAACATTTGACATAAACCTTCAATTCAAATCAATCCATTTATAGCAAAATATGTAAATAAGTAGGAACTTTATTTTGTTGAAAATCAATAATACCAACCTATAAATATCACAGTTATATGCAAATCCATTGGTGCCACCAATAGTATAAAAGTAGCCATTGTGACACAATATTGACTGTCCATATTGCCCAGGAGGCCTTATTCCTGTTACATTAAGAATTTCTAGTTTAGCATCGCCAGGGTTTGTCCGCCATGTTATAACATCATTACTGCATTTATTTCCAAAAGGAGCTCCAGTGCCACCAAATATCTGTGAAAATTTAAAACATTAATATCTTAAATATTACATGCATTAACATGAATAATATGATTTGATTATAAACAAACTATCCCTTTCAAAATAATTATAATAGAAGTTAAGATAACTAACCATTAGATATCTTCCATTCATGCACATAGCATTTGATGCTAGTTCTTCAGGCATGTTCTGTACAACTTTGTGTTGTTTCCATTTCCTAGTAGCGATACAATAACTCCACAATTCTTTGAACAGAGGTCTGTGTGGACTCCAGGTGGGATCAACCCTTTGGATACTATTCAAGGGTAAAACGGGATTATAGCCTCCAAAGCAATAAATGTTAACATCATCACAAACTATTCTATGGCCGCTACGAGGCCGTGGAACCTCAGAACCTCTAAACTTGACTTCAGTAACCTTAAAAGGTTCAAATATGTAGTCCTGACTCGAGGATGTCATATTGCACTATTATCTACGACATATAAATTAATATCAATAGTACGTCAAACTCTATATAAGCCTTGTTATTATTAACTGTATCTACACCATAATTAAGAATTTTAAAATAAAAATACAGAAGTTTTTACTTCAAAATTACTTGACAGTTTTGACATTATCAAAAAGCATGGGAAGCAAAATGTCATGATAGGTAATATAAAAAAATATAGATAAATAATATTGTTGGAGTATGACTAAATATAATAGATTATCATTTTTAAATCGTCATTCACGATTATATTATTTGTGTTAGAATTATACATGATTATTACACATAACTATGTCCAAAATGTGAACAACACATAATATAGGTAGTGAGGTCATTAGTTAGTACTCTCTACTCATCTCACATCCAATAGGGCAAGCGAAAGTAGTAAACTTTAGGTACCCAGTGCAATAATTTAATAACGATATGGCAATCGTTGATTTTTAACTGAATTTGATTAAGGTTCCTCTGCAAATTCCCCTAACAAAGGAAAGGCCCTTCGTTTACATTTCTTTATCATATTGACATATGCAAAGGACAACCTTCAGCTCTGGTCGGTAACCACAGGTAGTCAACAGACCCTTGCACCCATTAATCTTAGGATTTAACTGTATCACTATCCACTTGCCCTTATCCCTTACGGAAGGTCGGCACAGTTGTGCTGCTTTTCCAGCCGTCATATCTGAATCCACTCCTTTCTTAAGCATATCCTCTTTCACACCATCCATCCATACTTTCTTTGGTCCTCTACCTTTGTACCCATCCACATTCAATTTTAACACTTACTGGTTTATGCATGTTAGGATTTAACTGTATAACTACTGAAAAAAATGTTGATGAAATTAAAAATCATGATAATGACACATGTTTATTTCAGAGAATCATTACAATACCAAGCTTGAAATTGAAATAAACAGCGCTTACAAAATGTTGACAAGTGATTTTACCCATCACCTAAGATGGCTTCTATGTGATTAACATTAAGAGAAAAAACGTTTATAGAATATATACTGAAAGGAACGAGGACGATTATTATATGGCTACGCCATACTTCTAAAATATATATCACTACGAAATACTATAATAGATTAGTACTCACACCAATAAATATAATTATTCAGTCGTTAAATGTCTGAATAATTTAACATTGATTTGTCACTGTATGTCTATATTATGTCATGTTACATAGTAAGAAAACCCAAAAAGATTCATCTAACGGAATCAAAAATAAAATTAAAAAAGTTAAACTTAATTGCACATCATTAACAATGCTATAAACTACGAAAACAATAAACTGGTTTGATATAATGTTAAATTCCGATTTAAAGTTTCAATCAAAAGGGTTATTTTTACTAAAATTTTGAATAAAAAATGATTTCTGTTTTTAATGAGCAAAAAAAGAAAAAACATAAACGTAAAGGTTTACTATTTTTTTTTTCAAAGACAACTATTTTTTTTATTTTCAGCCAGTGCGTTGCATGCCAGTAGCAAACAACACTTTGGGTTTGGACTTTTTGCCCTTCTTGTTGGAGGGCGAAGGCGCGAGTGCAGGTGAGGGCGCGGGCGCGGCGTGCAGCGCGGCCTCGATGGCGTCACTGAGCACGAGAGCGCGCGGGCCTGCGCCCTCCTCCGCGGGGGCCGGTGGGCTGGGGGGCGCCGCTTTGCGTACGCGCCATGTGCCACTGCTGCTTGCCATCTAAATTTACAGCAAGTTTAATTAAGTAAAGGAAAGAAACTTTGTA